GAATCCAGGTGACACGCACACCAAGCGTGCGACGACTTCCACGGGACATCCCCTACACTCACCGAGGTGCTGCCCTTGAGTTTCAAGATGGATCCATTGAGGTTGAAAGCGAGCCACTGGATGGCATGCACTTCCCCAGGCAACGATCCAAGAAGGCCGTTGCCTATGGCATCTTCTGGTTCGGCATTCCTGACACTACTGACCAGGAGGCAAAACCGAAGGTTGAACCACAACCAGCACAAGAAGGACCAGAGGCCAAGCAGCCTCAGGCGGTCCCAAGTTCACCTATCTCCACCGTCACATTCGCTGGATGCCCAGCCGATGTGACAAACGATACAAAGGCAGCAATCCGACGGCTTCACCTGAACCTCGGACATCCGAGTGAGAAGGAACTCCTACGCTTGCTGGCCTGGCAAGGGGCCATCAGCAAGCAGATGATCACAGCCGTCAAGAGCATGCAGTGCGCCAGCTGCAACCGAGCGCAAAAACGAGATCAGCCCCGGCCCAGCTCCATGTCGACCGCTACGCTTGGCCAGTTCAATGACAACCTGCAGAGCGACGTTTTCTACTGCAGAGATGTGCTCGGCAAGAACCATGCGGTAGTTGGCATTGTGGATCAATCCACGCCTTTGCGTCAGGCCGCTCGCCTACCAGACCTCACCTCGGCCACAATGACAGAGATCTTCCGCCGGGTTTGGTTCAAGCCATACGGATTTCCTCAATGCATCCGTGTGGACCCAGGCGGCACCTATGCCATGGACTTCAGGGACTTCGTGGAGCGCCACGGAATCTTCCTGGAGGTGATCCCGGCAGAAGCCCACAAGGGTGATAGATGCTGAAGCAGTGATGAGCGAGGCCGACTTCGATGAGGCACTGCACACCGCTCAACTCCATGTCCTACTCCCACGGCAGACCTCCCTACATGGCCGTGTTCGGACAAATACCACGAGTTGGGTCAGGCCTCCTTCAAGATGACAAGGCACTCATCACCAAGAATGAGCAGTACGGGTCAGTCAGATCTGACATCCTCCGAGCTGAGGCCATGAAAGCAATGATCGAAGTCAACACCAGCCAGGCTCCAAGAAGAGCCCTCCTTCTCAAGACAGCCACTCCACATCACAACGAGTTGTTGCCAGGCCAAAGCTGTGCCTATTGGAGATGGCAGAATCCAAGAGGCCGCTCAACGAAGAAGAGAGGGGCATGGGTGGTGGCAAGATTCCTGGCATACGACCCAGACGGTCGTTCAGCATGGCTCCACTCCGGAACCACGACTCTACAAGCCTCCCTTGAGCAGATCCGTGGAGCCCACGGATTCGAACAATGGCAACCCAGTGGAGAAGACATCAAATGCCTCCACGACGCCTCCACAAACATCCGCACAGACATGTGGCAAGACCACCGAGCCGCAGCACCTCTATACAGGACGAGGATGACTACGACTACCAGCTACACCAGACCTACAGCTATGAACCAACCGAAGTTGGGTACGATACGGCACTACAGCCTCTTGCACCACCACCGACTACAGGCATCACAACACCAACAGTCACAGCACAAGCTCATGTGGACACAACCATCAACACACAAGCAACATCACACAACACTACTCAGCACAACATCAACATCTACTCACCCACTCACGTCAATACAAGAGTGTCCAACCGGGCACGACTCACAAGTCGCACACCGCCACCCAGAGGCAGGACATTGGACACTGACTACAACCCAAACAGGTTCGGGCTCACAAAACAGGCACGACCCCGAACCCCATCCAACCGGGCACCACCACGGGCACTACCGGTTCCACAAGCCTCAAGTACTTCATCCGGATCAACAGCCTCAAGCAGCACATCAACGCCTCACGGCATTGAGCAAGTGCCGGAACCACCGGTACCAAGGTGGCCACCACTACCACCTGTTCCAGAGACACCCGAAGCACCTGAGGTGATACCAGTACCACCTGACGCGTCACCTCCAACGACAGTCTACGATGGTACAGACAGCGCAGCAACAGCACAGCAAGCACCTGCTGCACCACCACAGCAGGCACCACAGACAGACACAGAACCATCAGGCAGCATCATGCCTACCCTGCCAATGAAGAGGCCCTTTGAGGCCATGCTGAATGACGCCCATGGCCGCATTGAGCCACCACGCTGGAGCTGGGATGGATCACCAGACACTGTGATCACCCAGACCCATTCCGTGCTGTTCGCCAAAGCTGCCACCAAGATCCTCCAGATGGAAGGATATGATGTTCTGGAGACCGACCTCACGACTCTCCAGAGTGAATCAGATGCCGCTTCATCGGGCCCAGAAGACAAGATCCAGGTCATGAAGAAGAAAGTCCTCACCCGCAAGGAAGCAAAGGCCCTCGAGCGGGAAATTCCTTGGCGGCAGATCGTGAAGCTGCCCAAAGACCAAATCGACCATCGAAGCCATCGAACCAGAGCTTGCGGCGCAGATCATGGCAAATCCTGCAACCAGGCGCAGGATCCTCAAAGCCAGAGCAAAAGACCCGACCCAGCTGGTCGCAAAGACAAGGGTCGTGGCCTTGGGTCACCTTGACCCTGACTTGGCAAGCGTCAGCAGGGATGCACCGACACCAAGCCGCACCTCTGAATGCATCCTTCTGGCCATCTACATTGCAGGCCGCAACCAGCTCATGGAGAATGACCCGACGACATGGTCATTGTGGTGCGGGGACGTGTCAACCGCCTTCCTCCAGGGACAACAAGACATGACTGAACGTCCCAGTGACCTGTACCTCCTTCCACCACAAGACGAGATCACACGCCGGGCACAAAGTTTCCCTGCAGCCCTCTACCGCATTCGTGGAAACGTGTATGGGCTAGCTTCAGCTCCGAAAACATGGTACAAAGAAGTCTCAAGGAGATTTTTGTCCACTTGTCCACCGGCTACCTCCAACACAGCCTTTCTACAAGCGCTCAAAAGATGGAGCACACCTGATGGCAATCGCCATCGTCTATGTCGACGACGTGCTCATGGCCAGCCGCCAGGACTACGACAAGTCCGACCTCCACCAGTTCACTTGGGGAAGCTCAGCAGAGCTCACCACCGAGCAGAGCCTCACCTTCAAAGGGAAAGAGCTGTCACCTGTCAAAGCTGATGACAAGTACCACCTCAAGGTCACCCAGAAGCAGTTCATCGCCAACAGCGAGCCAGGCCAAGTCCGCAAAGGACGCATCCAGGAGGGACCACCCCTCTCCATGGAGGAACAAACCGAGTTCCGATCCCTGACGCGGTCCATCCAATGGCTCGCAGGCCAGACAAGGCCAGAACTGGCCGCATGGGTCTCACTGGCCAACAAAGGCAAAGACACAGGGCCGGCAGAGCTTGCTCAGCTCTACTCCACCCTGGACTATGCGAGGGAGCACGCCGACGATGGCCTCACCTTCCAAGACGTGGCAATCCACCGTGCCACAACCATCGTCGGATATGCCGACAGCTCGTGGGCAAATGCAGCTCAGTGCGCATCTCAACAGGGATGTATCGTGCTCCTCACGACGCCTCACTGCACTCAGGTCGTCACCAAAGGCAACATAGTCGATTGGCGCTCCAATCGATCAAGCCGGGTCTGCAGATCGACGCTAGCTGCAGAGTCGATAGCATGTGACGACTGCGTCGACGAGCCCACTATGTCTCCTTGGTCCTCTCGGAGCTCCTCACCGGCACCGCCTTTCACCGGGACCCCGAGAAGTGGAAGCTGCGGCAGCTGCAAGTGACGGACTGCAAAAGCCTGTTCGACGCGGTTTCCGCGGAAAACCCGCGCACGACAGAGAAGAGGACCTATGTTGACATCAGGTCAATTCAGGAGTTCATCGACTCCGGCACCATTTTCTGGTGCCCCACGACCCTCATGTGGGCCGACGGCCTGACGAAGCGCACCAAGCAGCTTCGAGATGACATGACTGCATAGCTTAAGCGCCCCTATGTACAGCTGAAGGCCATAGCAGCTGGTTCCACGAAAGAAAGAATCCCCAGTGACAAAATCCAGCATTCAGTTGCACCAAGCCCTTCGTGAAACCATCAGGTCATCGAAGCACATGTTTCGCCGCGCACCAAAGGTGCACCTCGAGCTCAAGCCCTTTTTAGCAGAAGTCCGCCCTGCAGTGCACATGCAAGCATTGCAGTGAGAGTAGATGTCAAAGCAGTTTTGACATCTACTACCGATTAATATGGTTTCAATTACTGTATTACTATTATTTCTATTGTTATTATCTACACTACACGTTAATCCAGCTGCAGTGGATTGCCAGTGATGTTAAAGTGCCGCGCCTCCATTTTTGAGCACATGACGCTGCGGTGACACAAGCTTATCGGGCA